CCCTCCCTCCCCTCCCTGAGACTCCAGTCTGTTCCATGCTTCTATGTCTCTGGGTCTATTTTGTTCATTCGTTTATGCTGTTCATTAGATGCCACCTGGGGCAGGCGATGGCCACTCCCCGGTGTCTGAGCTCCTGCGCTGGCCCTGCCCCCACTTCGGTGACCCCCCCCCTTGGATTTGCACCGTCCAGGGTGAGTCAGAGTCAGGGCCGTGGACTCACCTCCTGCTCCGAGAGGCCGTCGATGATCTCGGACACCTCGTGCTCACTCCGGGCGGCCGACATGGAGAGCCCGCTGCCGCCCAGGGGTCCAGGGCAGAGCAGAGGGCCCCCAGCCTGGCCCGGGGACGCCTGAACCCTAACACTAGCAGGTGCTCGGCCCCTTCTCTCTCTGAGATGTGCTCAAAGAGGCCAGCCACGCAGATCCACGTGCCCGTCCCGGCTCAGCCCGCCGACCTGTGCCTCCGTTTTCTCCCCTGTAGCACGGGGCCCGCGTGGCACCAGCTCCCAGGGCCGGGAGGAGGCACCGGTAGACACTGCGAGTGTCCAACACACAGTGGGGTCTGTCATCACTGCTCCTGGCCCATCACCTCACCTATGTCACTAAAGGGAACAGGACAACAGGGGCCGGAGCCACACCTCGCCGAGCACCTACTGTGTGCTGGGCACTGCCCCGCAGGCTCTCACTCAATCCTCACACAGGGCCACAGCAGACCAGCTGCCTGCTCCTGGCTCCTACACCAGGTGGTCCTCTCCCCTCTGATCCACCAGGGATCTCAAACGCAGCCGCCCTCAGGGGCCGCGCAGACCACACAGTGAACGGAGCTGGTGGGCCCCAGCCCAGGGTACACGGGCAGAAGCAAAAGCGCTTGCTCACAGGGATGCATGTAAGTCTCAAGTAAGTGTCAAGGCCCAGCGGGGTCCGAGTGACACATCCAAGGGCGGGCGGGGCCCCTGGGGCGGCCGGTGTGAGACCCCGCTGTGCTCCTGCTTCGCACTGTGCTGTCGGT